TGGGCTCCGTAGGACTGTTCCTCGAGTGATCGGCTCCTTCTGCCCTGGGTGGCAGTGCTGGCAGATGACAGGTTCATTTCTACCCTTGGTCACTTTTTCCAGGGAAGTGTCAGAGCCTCTCGGAGCTTCGTGCTAAGCTCTGTAGTCTTTGCTTTGCCCTTTTCTTTGCTTTTTAAAGGACTCTTGCCACAGTGGTTGGGCAGGTACTCCATGGCTTCTTTTCACACCTGCCTAGCTGTCCTTTGAGCTACTGGCTTGAAGCGAAGGAAAAGAGGAAGGGACTGTGCCCACACCTCCTGAGTGTCCCCAAAACGTTTTCTCGTTTCCTGCTCACTAACAGCTGGGCAGGTGCTGTCTTTACAGATGAGTAAACTGAGGCTGAGAGAGGCTCGATGACTGAGCGTTCCGCCCGGGCCTCTCCGGTTAATGCCAGTGCTTTGCCTCCTGGTTTGCCCCCGTTCTTTTCCTTACGAGTAAACTGGTTCTTAGAGGTACTCAGCTCAGCCTCCTTCTGTGAAGAGTCTGTCTTCAGCCTGGTCTTTAGCGCTGCTTCCCTTTGCTTCCGGAGAGAAAGAGCTTGGAGCCAGAGAGCGCTCAGTGTTTATGGCGTTTTCATGGGATTTTTTTGCTTCTGCTTCTTATTCCCAATTACTTGCCTCTCGAAAGGGCTAGCATCTGACTCCCCGATCTGATGCTGCTTTTCTGAGATGCACCTCAGAAAAAGAGGATTGGTAGATTATATTTTGAAATTAGAATAAATTACTGCCTGAAAAAAATCATGAGTCAGTACTTTTAGTTTTACAATCCGTAGTAACAAAAAAAAAGCCTTATTTTAACTTCCTGAATGGGTATCAGCAACAATTGCAGCTCATATTCTTCACTAGATATATTCTTGAAAAGGAGATAAATAAAATCCTGCCTTTGGAGTTGCCTTTTTATTCTTAAAGGAGCTTTCCATTTAAACAAAACAAACACAGACACCTCGTAGTGAACAGAATGATGACTATCTCAGTTGATCTCTTTTGAAAAGCCAGTTTCATCAGGAAAATCAGAAGTACCATCAACACGGGCCCTTTCTAGAAGAGCGTGGCATGTAGTTCCATGTTTTATAATGTTCACGTGGTAAACATGACGAAGCCTGAGCAAACCACATGCGCCAGGCTTTTCACTGAGAACTTGCTGGCAGACGCCACATCGATTCTGTCGGGTGGTGGGATGTTGTGATCCTGGCTCTCTCTGCCTTTCAACAACACAGCAGAAGATCAGGCTTAAAGTACAGCGGGGAGCTGGGTTATGCTTCAGGCAGAACTGTGACCCTCTCTGGATAGTTAAAAGGTGGGTGAGTGATGCATGTTATGGATTCTTCAGGGGCTTAAACATGGCAGGTAATGCCCAGATTCTTCAAGTGTTAAGATCATCTTCTCTAACCCTCTTGTTATAGGTTAGTGTCAAACAGATCGTTTGCCTGAGATAATTCAGGGGTATCCCTTCCTGGAGGCAAGGAATGTCTTAAATGAGTGCCTGGGAGTTCTTTCCAGAAGCGCAGCTCTGTGGCCACACAAGTTCTGGGTGTAGATGCCGTGAGCTTTCCATTTAGGTAAATGATGTGTGTGTGTGTGTGTCAAAGATGGAGGAAATGTGCTTCTTGCTCTGGAGGAGTTTGGGGTCCACCTGTGGACCCCCAAACTGCTGATTGACTCAGCAGTTTGATTCATCACCATAACCGCTGCTTCTATGGTGAATCGATTTGGTACCCTGGAATACTTGGTCTCTGATGGGCAGGGCCAGGGAAGTCCATTAAAAGAGGCAGTACCACCCAAACGGAGCTGTAGGGAGTAGCTGTGGTTGTGCCTGTTCAGTACCTGCATGGAGGATTGCCTGTGTTTTTTTAAACCTTTTGATGGTGAAGGTTTTTAGGTGTACAGAAAAGCTGAAAAAATAGTGCCACAGATAACTGGACACCCGCTGCCAAGATTTGTCAGTGGTTAACACTTTTTCATACTTGTTTCGCCTCTGAGTTTGTGTGTGGACTTGTGTGTGTGTGTGTGTGTGTGTGTGTGTGTGTGTGTTGTTTTCTAGCCATGTGTTAGTAAGTTACAGGCATCGTGACATCTTGACCCCTAAATGTATCCCTTGGCATCTCCTAAAGCCACTCTCTTACATCACCCTAATTCTGCCACCAAAAACGGAAGAAAATGAACCATAATACAGTCATCTCTAGTTCCTAACCTCTATTTCAAATTTCCCTAATTGCCCGTGTCTTTTACAGCTATTTTTTCCAACCTAGATTTGATCAAGGGTCACACATTGCATTTTGTTTTCCTAACACTTAAATCTCTTTTACTCTAGAACAGCTGCCTTCTAATCCTACCTTTTCAAATTTTTGGTGTATAATAAGTATAATAAATGCATATTTATTGTATTTGTTTTTACATTTACTTTATTGTTGTTCAGTTACAATTGTCTGCATTTGCCCCCCACTCCAGCCAAATCCACCCCCCGTGCTTCTACCCTCGCTTTTGGTTTTGTCCATGTGTCCATCATAAAAGTTCCTGATACCTTTTCAATTTTTGATTCATCACCGTAACCTTTAGAAGGACCAGACCAGTTTTCATATGACTTTTCTGTTGCTGCCTTACCAAGGAAGTTTCTAGCAAATTGAAGATTTGAGACATTTTTCAGATCTAGAGAGTGAGGCATTTTGTAGGCGCTGTCTTACCAAGTCGTCAGATGTTGTTCCTGATACACCATTTTCAGTAGCTACAGCGCTTTACTCTGTATTTGCAAAAATAATAAAAGCCAGTTGTAAAGTGTTAGAACCATTTAAAAGCCTGTAAAATACAAAGCGAGAGTTCTGGTTAATATCACCACTGCGTAGCCTTGAGATAACAGTTCATCATTTTGGTGAACTTTACGTTCTTTCTCATTTGTGCGTGTTTTTTGTCTGTCTAGTATAAAAAACTGGGATCACCTGTACACATTGTTCTGCAGCTTAGTTTTGATTTTTCACGAACTAACTGGGCATCATGGATGGAGTCCGACAGAACAGGCAGGCAGGGTTGTTTTTCATAGTGGCTGGGATGAATGTGCACCGAGCCAGACGTATTCTTTCATCGGCGTTTAAGATGAGACACACCCAACTATAAAAGTGGCCCAGGATTAGCTATGTGGCTTGTGCCCACAGAGCAAATATTTTCCTCTGATTGAGGCTCCCTAGCTGATAGAGGAATTGAATCTTGGGATTTCGTGCTCTGTGTTTCAACAAGTTGTGCAAATGTGTGAGTAGTAGACTCCATATTCCGATCCGTAGCTATCACGAGATCATCAGGTTGGCTTACCTTGGAGGTAAACACAATACTCTGCCAACATAAAGCGATTTGGAAATGTTAATATATTTTACCAAGCCAAAGTCTCTACCGGCATGTGTATTTTAAGCCATCATAAAACATATACCTGTCACGCTAAGGAATGTGCTGAGGGCAGGCATCAAAGAGCGGCGAGGGAGTGTGGGGAGTGTGTTTTGCTGTGTTGCAGGGCTGTGCCCTGACGACTTGCATGAGGCCCAGGGTACTGACATGGAGTGGTTGCTAAATACTGAAGCCACTTCATTTATTCATTCAAGAATTTCTGCAAGTTGTCACCCATATTTGTCCACTCACGTGTGGGGGGGCTCAGAGGTACCTCCGTGGATGAAGGGTTTGAAGAGCAGCCGAACCTGCCCAACTTAGGGAGTCCGGTTCACGGAGCAATCGCATCAGTGGGAGATGGTCCTCCGAGCTTGATGGACAGCAGAAAGGCGAGGGGTCTAGAGACTGCCTGGCATTTCTTTGGAAGACAGGAGCCTCCCAGTAAGAGCATTGCAGACTCTGGGTGGAATGGTCGATCCCCTTTGTTGTCAGTTATGGTTGTGTTCTCCATGGCAACACTGCCTTCACTGGCATTTGGTGGGGCACCGGGAAGTCAGGAAGTCTCGTTATTAGTAAGTTAAATCATCTGTGATTTGGCGACAAGGCTTTTGCTTCAAGCATTTCGTAACAGAACAAAATATGGTAGGGTGGTTCCCCACATCTAGCCAGCTGTCTATTTGGTAGAAAAAGGACAAGGAATTATCATTTTAAGCGCATTAAATAATTTATATATTTAAAAGTGTTTTTAAAAGATTGCCCTGGCCAGGTGCTCTGTGGGAGTGTGGACCCGCACACTGAAAGGTTGCGGGTTCCGTGCCTGGTCAGGACACACACTGAAGTTGCGGGGTGATCAGGGCGTGTACAAGAGGCAACCAATCAGTGTTTCTCTCTCACATGGATGTTTTGCTCTCAAATCCATAAAAAGCATTTCCTCGGGTGAGAAGTAAGGAAAAAAAAGTAGGAAGTTGCTGCCTGTATTAAATGTGTGTTTCCTCCATAGTCTGTTATTTATTCTACGTAAATGAAGTAAACAAGAAAGTAAGTACTAAAATATTAAAGTCAAAACAAAGGCAGACCGTGCTAGTGAAAGGGAAGAAGCAGGGTTACAGAGTCAGGAGGGGCAAGATAAGGTTTTGATCGCTGGATCATTTACATCAACGAACCTCACGTTTTTCCACTCGAAAAGAGGGATCACGAAAGCTACTGTGTAGGGTTATTCACGAGGTTGAAATGAGATAATACGTGTTTGAAAGTCTAAAAAAACTGGTCAGATTCCACTCTTATTGCTCCCTTGAGCAGACAGGATTGCGGAGTGGAGGGAGCATGCAAGTTGAGGTTGCGTAGACGGGTTTGGGTTCTTTGCTGTGTAGCCTGCATTGTTGGACGAGTTCTTTTACTCTCTGAATCTCTGTTTCTTCAGCTATAAAGTGGATTTCATCTTATCACCCTTGCCCACTGAGGCAGGGCGAGTGGGCCCTCCCCAGAGCCTTGCGGGTTCTGGAATCCAGACGTTCATCTTGGTGGGGAAGCAGGGGTGCCGTAGGTCCTGGAGCTTCTCTTCGGTGAATGACCTTGCTGTTTTTCTGTCTGCAGTGACCCTGCACAGTGCCACCCCGGGCATGGACACCCTCTCCCGGGTCGGAGGGAGCACAGCTGGTAGTGCCATCGCCTGGTCCTGAAGTTGCTAAGGCCACCTCAGGGGCGTGGACGCCAAGATAGGAGGGCGGCGTCCGAGGGCCACTGAGCCATGCCTTTCGGCCTGAAGCTCCGCCGGACACGGCGCTACAACGTCCTGAGCAAGAACTGCTTCGTCACCCGGATCCGCCTGTTGGACAGCAACGTCATCGAGTGCACGCTGTCAGTGGAGAGCACAGGGCAGGAGTGCCTAGAGGCCGTGGCCCAGCGGCTGGAGCTGCGGGAGGTGAGTGTGTGTGTGTGTGTGATGGAGAACTCACCCAGGGGACCAGCCACCTGTCTTGTGGCACTTACCCTGCTCTTGAGCCTCCGCCTTGTGTTTAGAAGAGTCCTGTTATACTCTAGCACAGGCCTGGTGCTCCAGCCTTTAGGGGAGATGAGCAGGACACCCCCAAGAGCTTTCACAGGGTGGTGGCCTCCCTCTGTTTCCATGGCTGAGGAGGTGTTGGGGGAACTGAAAACAAGAAACTCTCCTCGCCAAAGTCATTTTCTGTCTTTAAGAGTCGAGTGGAGAGCTGGCACGGTGCCATTCCTGCTGCACATGAGGGACAGAACCCGCATCTGGGGGGTGGGTGCAGCTGCTGTCATTTCTGCCTATTTGTTTCTATAGTTTCCTCTTCTAAGGGAAGAAGAAGAGAATGAGCACTTAGTGTGAGTGTGAGCAGTGAGGCTTTTTGTGGGGACTTGGCAAATGGGGGTTGTGTTCCTTTTAAGATTCCCCCTGGCCCTTGGTTTCTTTGCACTGTCTGTGAGTCCGCTTCGGGCTTCATGACCAGAAAGACAGATGTGCCATCACTGTTTAGAGGAGACTCTTACTTAGGGCAGTGTGTCCTTGCCCCGTTTTTTTCAGTCTTACAGCCATTTCAGAGAAGAGTCATGGTGAGTAATCCATACAAGCATTGGTATCTTGAGAGCCATGTGTCATACCGGCCGGTGGGTACGGTGGCATGGTCGAATGGTTGGGGCCATGTGTCATACCGGCCGGTGGGTACGGTGGCATGGTCGAATGGTTGGGGCCATGTGTCATACCGGCCGGTGGGTAAGGTGGCATGGTCGAATGGTTGGAGCCATGTGTCACACCAGCCAGGGGGTAAGGTATCGTGGTTGAATGGTTGCCAGTGCGGAAATGAGTAGTCTCCTGAGGTTCAAGCCTTATTGAGGACAGATGAAGCCTTGTCATTGTCCTAGGCCCTGTGACATCATTGCCTAAGACCTCAGGGTGATGGAGAAGAGGCGGGTGGTGCCTGTTGGAAGTGATGATTGGGCTGTTTGATGTTCTCATGCTCCACCTGCGTCCATGTGCCCATAGGAATTGGGGAAAGGTCTTCCTTCCTTCTTGGTGTCTTCTGCTGACCGACTTTTATCCTCTGCGGGACTGCTCCACTCCAGCGCTTCTGTCTCCTGCTGGTTGCCATGTTTGTACTCCGGTTCCGGAGCTCAGGTCTTCCTCTGAGGCTGGTTTTCCTGTGTGGGGGACTGTCCTGCCCAGCAGCTCTGCGTAGCTGCGTTAGGGTTCCCACGTGCTGTCCTCACTGGTTGGTGGCCGGCTCTTTTTTGATTATTAGTAACTCACTTGGGTATGCATATTGACACATAGGTATGTGCACAGGTATAAAGGGAGAACCTTAATACCATAGATCGGTCAAGTAGGAGATTGGTCAAAATTCTTACAAAAATTTTAGTTATAGATCCTTTAAAAATATATACAGTGGTTTTACTGTTGAGTATTCCCTCTAACTCACAATAGAGTAACAGTATTCTTCACATGCTTAGGAAAGCAAGTAACACATGGTTAAGTAGGTACAAGGGCAGGCTTCCGAGTCTTGGATTGGAGTTCCAGTTATAGTCCTGTCGCTTTTTAGTTAGGTGACCTTACCTATAAGGTAAGCAAGGTTCACTTACCTTATAGGGCTGCTGCAAGTATTAACGAGATACAGTATGGAAAACGCATCGTGCTGTCTCTGATAACATGTACTTGTTCCAATTTGAGTCTTTTTCATTGAAGAAAATCTTGAGCGACTGCAGTGCGTCAGGCACTGTTTTAGGGCTTGATGGAATGAAGCTGAAAAAGGCACAGTTTTATCATTGGGACATGCGCAGACAAGTACGGGAGCCCAGCCTTTAAACCGACAGTTAAGATTGAATGGGGGCCACATGGAGGTGCAGGGCAGGGGCAGCCGTGCTGTCCTTAGACAGTTGTGCAGCCCAGACCGGGGACAGGAGGTCTCGGTGACAGATGGACAGAGCCTCCGCTCTTTGAACGGGGACTGGGCATGAGGAACTGGATTCTTGCAGATCCACGCGTGTGAAAAAGCAGGCCCGTTCTGGGGACTGAAGGGCTACCTCTGCAGATCAGCAGGCAGAGCTGCAGTGTAAGGTGCCAGGGGAGGCGGGTCTGGAGATGTGCACGGTAATAACTGCTCTTGCAGACCATTGTTCCAGCAGCCAGAGGGCAAAGGTCAACCCCGGATTACCCCGCCACTGTGTCGTCACAGAGGATAAAGCGGCGAGGTCCACATTCTGCTGCTAAGCGTGTGTGGCAGTGTGACTGATCTTCTAATGCCAGGGCATGGTTCGCATTTACTGCTGGCTTTATTTTGACGGGCCCCCAGCGGGTGCATCCACCTGAGAGCAAATCGCTTTCTTTCCTAATTGTGTGCTTTTGTTCTGTGACAGGTGACAGCGAAGGTGTGGGCTTTTGTGAGACAGTCCCATGGCTACTTCTGAGCTGCAGGGTGAGGTGGAGCCGTGTAATGCTTCGCTCTGATTATCTGCACCCACACCTGGGGGAGGAATGTGTCCTCCACCCAGAAGCCGAGGTAGCAGGGGCGAACACCAGGTCTGCTCCCTGCCCCGCGCTGGGTGCTGAGGGCGGTTTCTGAGTAGGGCTGCTGGCGCTTTAGAGGAGAAAGTGGAGATCCGTCCAAACTATAACACAATGTTTAGTTATAAAGAAGGCTCGGAAACCAGGTTATGGTGGACTTTCGGCTTGGCTCTCGGAAGTGTCCTGTGGTTTAGGTGCATTCTAAACTTTATGATAGTTTTATGTGACAAAAGGAAAATTAATTTTGATTTCATTTTTGATCTACAGTCATTACAATTGGTGCTTTACCACTTAATTTCATCAGGTAATTTTTTAAAGCAGTTTTCGGTTCACAACAAATTGAGTGGAGAGCAGAGTTCCGTGTACGCCCTGCCTCCATCCACCCCTGTCCACTTCTCTGCTATCAACATTCCAGACGACGGGAGAACATTTGTTACCGTTGATGAACCCACATCAGTACAGCATCATCCCCCAAAGTCCACAGTTTCCATCAGGGTTCATTCTTGGTGTTGTATATCCCGTGCGTTTTGACGAAGTATAATGACATGTGTATCTATATGGTAAGCTTTTGGGGGGTCAACTCTGGTTTTGAATGCACTGATGTTGCCGTTTCAAATGGCATCCACCAGGCCTGGTTCCTAGGGCCAGCAATACCTTTAAGCCCAGGGAAGCCGAATCTAATAGGGTCCCTGCCCTAGGGTTTAGAAAGCAGGACAAACAGGCGAGAGAGGGAACAGCCCATGCCGAGGTACAGGAACAGGGACGCTTGTGGGACTTTCAGGGAGGGGCCGAGTTCAGTTTGCACTGATGTGTTTGTGTGTGTGTGGGGGGGGAGGCAGTCCTGGTGGGGAGGGTAGGAGTGCGGAAGGGCTGGTGGGCGTCTGCCTTGGAAGATTTTAATGTGTCTGGATAGGGAATTTTAGCTAGATCCTGAGGGTATTGTTTCCAGAATGTGTCCCCCAAATAATTAAAGTAATTGCCACCTTTCAGTGTATTTCCTATTGTGCTGAGTACTTTCCGCATATCCACTCGCTTGACTCTCGTAACCAGTCTGTTGGGTGGCTTCTCTTGCTACCCCAATTAGGGATGTGGGACCCCAAGACAGCGCGACCTGCTTGCCTTCTCTGGACTGGTTCAAATGCAGGCAGGCAGACCCCACTGTTCTAACTCCCAGGGATGTGTAGCAGTGGAAAAGGAGCCATGGTAAATGCTTTGGGAAACACTTTTGGAAGTCCCATAGATTTTAAAAAAGTATGTTGACTCAGTGGTTCTCAGTTCTTTTAGTGTTTTATTAAATACTCTTCGAATTGTTTGGGGGCACGAAACACTACCATGAGATGGGAAGCCTTCAAAGGATTTTAAGGTGGAGCCTGGCGTGATCGCCTTGCGGTTCAGGAAAAGAACCGAATAACAGAAAAGGAACAAGGATCAGGGGGCAGGAGGAACAGAAAGGCCAGTCAGGTAGACATAACAATAATCTTGGCAAGAGGCAAGAGAACGAACTCCTTAGGGAAACAGTTCTTTTTAATTGTTTTACGTTTGGAAGTAAAAATAGGTATGGATTTCTGACCAGGAACTTTATTAAAGGAAGAGATTTAAGAAACAGAGGCTCAGAAAATTAGAATTCTGATAATATAGTTACAACATATTTGGATCAATGGACCTCACCCCTTTCTTTTCCCGAAATGAGATCTTCGATGGAACATTAATGTAGAAAATGCTTGCAGAGGGGATGACTCCTGAAGTCCCGTTCCCTTGGGCCCCCACATCCGGTTTGAAAAATCACGGACTGATGTTAAGAGAGAAATAGTTAAAACTCGGTGGTCTCATGACTGATTCTCCTATTTTAAAAATAAATATACGGAGAAGCAGCAGAGTTTGGCAGCTCAGAATGTGAGCTGGGGTCAAACTCTCAGAGTTTGAATTCTGGCCCTACTTCCTCTTAGCTGCGGGATCTTGGATGGTTACTACCTGGTGCTTCCGTTTTCTTACCTGTAAATGGAGATGGTAACAGTAGCAACCTGTGGAGTTGCTGGGCGATTAGATGAGGTAGTGTTCACACACAGTAATTGTCCTTGTGTCAGTGACCTCCCCTGCAGGACACCACACCTTCTATCTGGTCCCCCGCCTCCGCAGTGGGCTCTCCTTTCCTCAAAGTCTGCATGCTCCATTTTTATTGGCTCTCATTGTTACACACTGTGATGGCACATGGAGCAAATCTTTCAGTTACTTGAATGCTTATGACTCATTTAAGACTGTGTCATCCGATGTGATAACCCCTGGCCACCTGTGGCTGTTGAGCACCTGAAATGTGATCGCTTTGAACCGGGATGAGCAGTAAGAGTGAAATACAGAGCAGACTTTGAAGACCTGGTGTAGAAAAAGAGCTTAAACATTTCACT